ATTCTGTATGATAGTATCAAGTTTGAAGACATAGGCAACTACTTTGAAGACAATAAGATTCACTAAGATACCCATTCTGGTTTGACTATTGTCTTCTTTGGAAGTCCTGTAATGTTTACAATGCCTAAGTTGTATTGGTCTTGTTCTCTACTGTTTTTTCCAACTTTATGATATCTGGTGAGATAGACAATTCTTTTTAAGGAAACAGGGGACAACGTTGATAACCATTGTTGATAAACTTGTACTCTGTTCTGCACCATGTGCTATGTCTATCCTTGGTATTGACTGACAGCTTTGTTTTGCCATATTTGACTGTATTCCCCCCCCCCCCCAAGAAAGTAATGAGCACTAAGGAGTAGTAAAATCCAGGATGTGTGGGTTTTGTTGTAAAAAAGAGAGGGGAAAAAAAAAGAAAAAGAGCTCTAACGGATATAACAGCAAGTGTGTTTGGGGGTGTTAAATAGCTGACTATATCAATGTTTTTGGAACATTGAACACTGCTGTTTGCGGACTCCCTGTTTGAATGTCCACCTTGTGTTCTTTGATACTGTGATTTGAGGAACTATTTTCAAGAAGATAGTGTGTAATCTACTAGCAGGTGATTTCTTACTGTTATGTTTTTTTGTTTTGTTTTGTTTTTTTTGTAGTTCTGTATTGCGTGTACCCTTACGCCGCTTTGGTTTGTTTTGTGTTTTTCTCTTTTTCCTCTTAAATTAAAAAAAAAAAAAAAGACCCACTGGGCTAGTCCAGTGCAGCAAGAAACTGCAAATTTCCTTGGCTGGGCCCCATTGAGGATCCTAAACTCCCAGGGTTTGGGGGATGGGGCAGGGGACACTCATCGCAGGCCACTCAACCTCCAGAACTTATATACAAAGGAGTATTACTCAGCTATAAAGAAGTATAAACTTTAGGCTTTTACAGGTAAATGCTTGCAACTTGAGACCATTCTCATAAGTGAAATAAATCAAACTCACATGTGTAAACATCATGTTGTCTCCCTAGCATAAGAAAATTGAAAAAGTAAAAAGATCCAAAATGTACAATAAATGTTATGAAAATAAAGGGGAAAGAAAGTGCTCAAAAGTGAGATAGAGGAAAGAAGAAAAGAAAGAAGGGAAAAGATTATATGTATATATGTGTGTGTGTACATATATGTATGATAAATAACTGTACTACTAGCCTCTGTAAGTTCATCAAAAAGAACATTTTGTGTTTTCATTGTTTGTTTGATCATTTTTATACCTAAATCTTGTAATCTGAACAACTACTTTTAAGATAACAATATTCAATATATTAACTAATGTTAACTTACTACTATTTTTTAAAAACTATTTTTAAAAAATCATTTTATCCTTTTTTGGTTTTGTTTTATAAAAAAAAACCATAAATGAGAGAACCCTGTATGTTGTAGTTTCTGTCCTTACATCAACAAATAATACAGAAACAATTGGACCATGGCCTTGGGCTCAAGGCCAGTTGAAGGTTTTGAACATATACAGAATAAAAATAGCAGAGTCCTACAGATGTGAGAAAAGAGTAGATTTGGGGTGGATTCAAGTGAGTGTGATTATAACTGAGGATGTCAAGAGACATGGCACAGTGACAGATGTGTACACACAGTTGTCAGCCTGCACTTCAGGAGGATTGTGGGGGAAATGATTGATGGTACCTAAGTTTTTAGAGACTGGACTCCAGACAATATGTTGGGTCAGAGGGGTTTCAGAGAGAATGGTGGAACAGTAAGCAGCAGAGCAAAGAGCCTCTCTGAGAGACACAGTCCAGACATTGGAATATAGCATCATGGGAAGGAGCAAGAAGGAAGGAAGGGGGTCTGTTGGACCCAGGAAGAATCTAAAGTGAGAACTGAAGCCAAAGAAAGAGTAAGAAGAAAAAACTTAGATGAAGAAGAAGGTGGTAACTGGTGACCCAGAGCCAGACCCACTGTTCAAGAGGAGCTGTTGGAACCTGGGGATGCACATTCATAGTGAGGGTGGTGGCTGGCGACCCCAGAGGCCTCTGCAAAGAGATGTACCAGTGGAGGAGAGCAGCAGATGTGGAGGACCGCACTCCTTGTGGTGAGTGCAGAAGACTCAGTTCTCCTGTGGGTGACAGAGATTGGCCAGGATCCATAATGGAGTCAGGTAGGATAAGCCCAGAACCAGAACTACTGCCAGCTTCCTCTAGCTGCTCCTAAGGTGCAGACTGATGGAAATTGTTCAGACTGAGCCCTGCCCTCAGGTGCATTCTGGTGGCCATGACAGAGATTTTCCACTGGTAACCAGCTCAGTCTGGATGTGGCAGCCAGCCTCACCCTCATGTGCACCCGAACAGCTATCATGGGGGCTCCCTGCCAGTGACCAGCTCTTGAGGCAGTGCCCAGCCCCACCCTGTGTGCACTCCACTAGCCATCGAGGAGCCAGCGCAGGCTGGGAAAAGCATCAGACAGCCCTGTACTAGTGCACCTAGTGGGCACCATCAAATATCCCTAGCCAGCATGTGCTAGAAGAACCAAACAGTCTCGCTTCTGAGAAATTGTAGCCAATGCAGGAAGTGCCTGGACCCCCACTACCCACTTGTCAGAAAGACCTAGGAATATGTCAAGATGAAGAAACAACAGGCAGTCTCTGGCCTCCAACCTAAGTAGAGCAACCCAGAAGATGCAAACAGAAGAAGAAATCAGGAGTTGCACACCTGAAATTTCTGAAGTGATGGCAACTGAAATAAAGCAACAACTTCATGAGGCTACAAAAGAAATTAGAAGAGAAATACTATCTCAGGCAAAAGAAGAAAAACATAACAAAAGGATTTCTAAGCACCTCTAAAGAAGACATGTATAAAAAAGGAGGAGCATAAGAAAATGAGGGTAACCTTGAATCAATAATATAAAAAAGATTTACATGAAACAGATTCAAAGACAACCCAGGAAATTAAAAACTCCATTGAAAGCTGGCAAAGCCACTTGAAAGAAACTGGAGATAAACTTTCAACATAGAGAGGTTACAGCTTGCAATCGTGAAAGGAAAGATCTCTTAAAAGTAACAAGGAACCAGAAAGTTCCTTTCTGTTCAATTCAAAGGCTGCAAGACAACCCAAAGAAACATAACTTAAGAATAATAGGTGTGAATGAAAAAGTAGGGGTCAACACAAATTATATTAAAAGTCTATTTTCAGAAATAATATCAGAAAACTTCCCAAGCATGAGACAAGGAAGTGACATTCAGATAAATGAGGCATATAGAACTCCAGCCAGCTATAACCAAAATCAATCTTCACCCAGACATATCATAACCAAGATCCCAGAAATTCTACACAAGAACAGAATATTAAAAGCTGTCAGAGAAAACAAACAGATCACCTATAAAGGAAAACTCATCAGAGTCATGACAGACTTCTCAACACAAACCATCAAGTCAAGAAGAGCTTGGAGTGAAGTATTTCAAGTACTGAAAGAAAACAACTTCCAACCCAGATTGTTGTACCCTGAAAAATTATCTTTCAAAATAAATGGAAAAGCAAGATACTTCCATGACAAAGAACAACTGAAGAGATTCATGACCACCAAACCAACCCTATAAAGAATACTGAAGGACATTCTGGAGAGATTTTAAAAAAGTCCATGTTTCCAGGAACAATGACAGGAGGGATTACTGAGCAGGGCAGAAAACTGAGTGACGGGGAAAAATAGGCAGCCAACAGCAGGAAAATAGCACAGCAGAGATGAGGCAGTGCATGAGGCCATAACCAAATGTAGATGGCCTCAATTCATCTATAAAAAGAAACACAGGTAAAATGGATCAGGAGTCAGGATCCATCAATATGCTTTATGCAAGAAACACATTTAATTTGTAAAGGGGTTCAAGAATGAAAGGAAGATCAAAGGATGAATGTCAAAGGAGAGAGAACAATGCTCTATGTGACAGGAACCAGAAAGAAGTGAGGGTACCTTGCCCATCAGCTTCAGAGTGGACAAGAAACACATGGCATTTTGATACAATGGGAAGCTACTCAGCTATAAAGAAAGATAACCTCAAGGTTCTTATAGATAAATGTATACAACCTCAGATCTTGCTCATAGATGAAAGGGTTCAGAGTCACATGGGTTGACATCGTGTTGTCTCCGTAGTATAAGAAACTAAAGGAGTTAGTGGGATCCAAAATGCACAATACATATTGTGAAAGTGAAAGGGGAGGAAGTGTCTAAAAAGGGAAGGTAGTGGTGATTGTTAATCTACAATTGTGATTTAAAACTCGTATTGTTTTCATTGTTCTATTTAGGTTGGTTTTATTCTGTTTCAGTTTGTCTAATTTTATATTTGATGGCAAAGACAGCTGTTTCAAAAATAATAAAATAGGGGCTGGGGATTCAGCAGCAAAAGCACCTACCTTGCAAGCAGGCAGTCGTGAGTTTGATCCCTGGTACCGATAAAAATGAAAAAGACCAAAAAAAAAAAATAACAAAATATATTATGGTAACCATTATTGATTTCCTGTTATGTTGTTTTGAAGCCCTGATTGCTTTCATTGTTTTGTTTTGATTGACTTCATTCTATTTTGTTTTGCTTGACTGTATCATGTCTGATCGTGTAGGCAACTACTTTGAAGATAACAAGAGGCATTATAGTAGCCACTATAGTTTTATTATCTTGTCTTGAAGTCCTGTATTGCTTCCATTGTTTTGTTCTTATTGATTTTATCCTGTACTATTTCATTTGATTTTATTAGACCTGATGGTATGGGAAATTATTTTGAAAATAACAAGAGGCATTAATGGTAGCCATTATTGATTTCCTTTTATCCTGCTTTGAAATCATGTACCATGTTCATTGTTTTTGTTTTGATTGACTCTATTCTATTTTGATTTTATTTTTTCAAAATTAAAAAAATTTGATTCCATACCAGATCCTAACAAACAAAATTCAAAATTAAGCCTTTTCAGAGGAGTTTCCTTATGCCGCTACTATATACAATCATCTATGGCTTATCCCATAAAAGCCAGGATCAACCTTTAGACAAAGAACTTTATTATTGCAAAATTTAGATGTTTCACATGTGTGGGCTTGGTCGATGCCAGTTTAACTAAAACTTGAACACCTTTCTTGCTTCTTCTAACTTTTCTTCAGTCATTGGAGGCTTCCTCTGGCTACCAGGCTGCAGAAACTTCTTCACATTTGGCAGGTTACTGATTCTGGTTTTTAGAGCCTGCAACACACATATTATAGTTTCAGCATTGGGTCTAAAGTACAAATAAACTATTAGAAAATCTTTCCCCAGCTTCCCCCCCCCCCCAAAAAAAAAGACAAACTGAGTGTTTCTATTACACCAGTGTGGAGCTGCAAACATGAACTCATAAGGAATGTAAGAGAGAGAATACATAGCTCAATAGCATCTTTCTTGAACAGTTTTTAAAATCTTTATTAAGTCTGTCCTGCCTTCCTTGTTCAATTTTTGATTTTAATTAGTACATGTTTGTAATGAAAACTGATCACAATCTTTGTGGAGAATTGGTACATGTACATGACAAACTTTAATTCTATCTTATCCCTTTCTTCTTTCCGCTCTTTCTTTTCCCTCCATCTCTTAGTCTTCTTCCAACTTGTGAAAGATCTATCAGCCTGTTTTCTATTATTTATCTTTTATTTTGCTCTTCATTTATATTTTAGATTTCTCATAAGGAAAACCACACAATATTAAGACTGTATCTCATTGATTTCACTTAAAATTATGCTATCAAGGTGCATCCATTTTCCTAAAAATCACTTGAGTTTATCCTTAATTATGACAGAGTAGGAATTTATTGTATATAAATACATTTTTCCCTATCCATTGATCTGTTAATGAATGTATATTTTGCCTCCAAGATTTAGCTTTTATGAATTGTACTGTTGTAAACATAGGGTATGCGTGTATCACTGTAATAGGGTGTCTTTAACTCTTTTTAAATTAAGCTTATTGGTACAATTTAGGTAAATATAACAATCACATTGTCACAGGTAATTTTGCCTGCACATGATATATCAGTTATTTTCCTCCCATATCTCTACCCCCTCCACAACAGGAGGATTGCTGTGAGTTCAAGGCCAGGCTGGGTTACACTGTGAGTACAGGCCAGCATGAACCACATAGCAAGATCCTGCCTCAAATAACAAAATCCTCTGGTGCCCTAGTTTAATATTATTTCCCTAGTCAGAGCCAGAATCTGTACTGAATAACCCCACCAAGTCTGCAGTAGGATTACTGCCGAGTGAGAGGCTGATCCTTGTACATGAGTTGTTCATCAGGTGAGAGCAGTGTCCTTGTCCTTTTGTCACCCAAGGCTGCTTTCCTGTTTGCACTACTGGTCACAAGGATGGGGCTTACCCTTGTCCTACCCCTAGCCAAGGCCTCTTGCCTACTTGTGCCACTGTAACAAAGTGGGGGGTGCCCTTGCCCACATCAGGCCAAGGCTGCTTGTCTGCTCATGCTGCCAATTGCAAAAGAAGGGGCTACTTCTAGTCCTTTGTAACTAGGGCTAAGTCTTGTATTTGACAGCAGCTGGAATAGAGTCTGAGTCCCAGCTCCTACCTCCCAATGAAGCTCTCAGTCTACTGTCCAGCTGCTGGCTGTCTGTTATGACTTAACGGTCCTTCCTTCATTCCACTCCTGGCTGCTGGCACTGAAGTAACCCAGGAGGTGTTCTGCTGCTGGTCTTCAAGCTTAAACCTTTGATACAAAATGACAGTCCCACCAACCAGTTGCTGCTCCTCCACACAACTGTGCTCAGTGCAACACTCTGGTTCACTCACCAACTGACGACTCTAGGGTGGGCTCCGGAAAGTGTCTCATGTTTTCTGCTACCTCTGACTGCACATGTGTAGGCAGAGGCAGGTGTCAGTCTCCCAGTAAGAGCCTAAGTTGCTTTCACTGACTCCCTCCCTGCCAGGTCAGCACACAGCTTCTCTAGCCATACCACACTCTCTCAGGTCTGCAACAGTGAGCTGTTTCTTCCATAGCAATGATTCCTATTTTCTTCTCTTTTTTTCAGTTCTCTTTGTGGTTCCAGGGTGGCTTGGATATTCTTTGATTTCTCTCCAGGATGTTGTTTCCAAACTCAACACTTCATTCTAAGAAGCTGAGTAGCTGACATTCAGTACTCTGCCATTTTGGATTCCCCAAATGTCTTTAACTTTAAGAGGATATCCACAAGGTAATGGTTGGGTCAAGTGGAATTTCTAGTTTTTGAGGATTTACATACTAATTTTCACAATGGTTGTACTCTTTTACATTCCCAACTTTGTAGAAAGGTTCTTTTTTCCTTTCAGCTTTACCAGCGTTTGTTATGATTTGATTTTGGGAAGATAGTCATTTTTTTATAGAATGAGCAAAATCTCAGTCCCCATCTTGTAAACGTGTCCGCCAACCACCAATATCCATAAATATCATTAGTGTAAGTGTTGGTTTTATCTGGACCCTGATTAATATTTTCTATCTTCCATCCCAACTCGATCTTTCCACATTTAGCTTTCTTTCCTTCACTACATCTCCCTGCCTGCATCTGGCAGACATTGTTTTTCTTCTGGTTACAAAAAACCCCAGAATGACAAGGGTGTATGTCTAAGAAGGTTGGCTAGAGGAGAATGTTTGGAATATGCAAAGAATTTAAAACCTTAGCCCCCATTTAAAGTCCCATTTAAAGCATGAGCAACTGAAATTGGCAGATCCTTTTGAGAATAAGTATAAATAGCCACTAAGTACATGAAAAAAATCCAACATCCCTGGCTATTAAAGAAGTGCAAATTAAACAAACTGAGATTTTGTCTCATTCCAGAAAAAATGACTATCTTCACAAAATCAAATCATAACAAATGCTGGTAAAGCTGCAAAGAAAAAAGAACCTTTCTACAAAGTTGGGAATGTAAAATAGTACAACCATTGTGAAAACTTGTATGTCTAGAGTGCATGAGGGAAGGGACTGAAGACGTAGAGGAGCTGGAAGCCAGAGCTGCACCCTGGGTCCAAACAAGAGATTCACTTTGGGAAATGTGGGGCCGCCTCTGTGAGGGCAGTGGAACAGTCACCTGCAGCAGGGTGAAGTTGGCCAAAAGACTGGCGTCAAACTCTTCAACCATGTACAAAAGTTCAGTCAGGAGAATATCAGCCTTGCTCAGCTTGTTGCCAACAAGGTAGTCTTGTCCATGGCCCTTTAACACCTGCAGAATTTGAGAAGTCAGACTGAACACAAGCAGCATCAGACTGGAACCCCGGCATCCCCCTGAGCCTCTCACCCCACTCTATATTGCTGTTGCTTCCCTGATGAGTGTGGAGCTCCAGCCTTTACCAGGGCCCTGACTCAGGAGGAAGGGTGAGGATCAGGTGCTGTTACTCCTGTGCTACAGCCCCAGGCACCCCCTTCATTCTCATGCCTGTGCTGCTCTCCTTCTCCACATGTTCCATGTGTACAGGGCTCAGCTCCTGCTGTACCACGTCTCCATCCTCCCACAGCCCGAGAGGAGCAGCCCTGAATCCTTGGGATGCACGGCTGCCCTCTGCTCTCCGTGTGCCGTCTCCTATGGGCAGCAGCTCCAGCCTCACAGCAGCACCCTTCACAGGTGTGCAGACCACTTTAGTGCCTCGGTTTCCCCTTGTCTCTGTTCTCTGCATTTTCTAGTTGCCTCCCTGGGATCTGAGATAAACTGGGCTAACTCAATTCATTTCCTTTGCAAGATGGACTCTGACTCCTTCCTTAGAATGGTATAATCTTCATGGAAGTTGCCTAGCACTAAACAGTACTGATAGCTGTAACTCTGCAATGTAGAAAAAGTTGTGTGTTTGACTAATGGTGAAAGAGGGAGAGACATGGACACATGATAGAGGCAACATATCTGGATGATGAATATGCATTCATTCAACATGTGTTTCCACTTTTGTGGCTGTATAAAATTTATGCAATAAACTTTTTGCAAGGCATATGATTATTTAAGTACTCCAGCAACATGGAAATCAGATCAAATAAAAAGCAAAAATAAACATGACATCAGCTTCTAATGAGAAATCCTCTTAAAAAAATCAGTAAATACCTTTGGTACAAAAACAGAATACAACATCAAAAGCCTTATTGTAATATATACAACTCATTTTTTTTGCATGGAGTTCTTAGCTATAATAATGGACATGGTTTACATACCTGAGAACTTTTCATCATGTGATATGTCCTAACCAATAAGATCCCCAGTGGTATGTTTGATTGTTCCTAAAATCATGATTTTTTTCACTGGGCTAAGCAGCAATTAATTAAGTTTTACTGAAGTAATGAAAGTTTAATGCTTCATGAGCTGAGTGCTGATGGATTAGTTCTCTTACTTATTGGTGTGATTCCATGTCCCTTATAATCTTTTGGGTGGACCTATATGTTTGTTTAGCTTAAATCCAAGTGGTTTTTTCTTGAAACATTCTAGCTTTACCTTCACAAATAAGGTTAACGAAGGTAGACACTACATTTATAATGGTGACCTTTATTTGTTCAATTTGGACGGCCCTCCTCCCAAGGCTGAGAGCCATACCCCCAAATCCCATAGGAGTCTTTCTTATCGTCTCTTTACATGTTCTCCTCCTCTCCATCTCTCTAACACCACCCTTCTTTAGAGTCTTTGCATTCCTCCCCAAAACCCTACAATATTCTCCAGCTGGCATTTGCTGACATGTCTCTCTACACCGGGTCAGAATACCATGTGCCACACTGTTCTTATCAGGCGCTCTGGGATGCAATGCAAGCCCAGGGCCTTCTGCAGAATCTACACAACTTGAAGAGTTGCTCAATCTTTTTTTTTTTTTTTTTTTATCGGTACCGGGGATCGAACTCACGACCATCTGCTTGCAAGGCAGGTGCTTATGCCGCTGAGCTAAATCCCCAGCCCGACTTGCTCAATCGTCCACCCACCAATTTCTCCTTATGAATATAACATCCCATCAAGGAGGAAATTCTAGGTTGAGGCATAAAAACTTAAACTTTGGCTCAAAAGTCATAGCTTTGGTATAATCATGTAATGCTTCCTCTCACTTTGTGTTTAGGTATCTCCCTGAGCCTCACTGTTTCCGTGCTGGTATTTTGAGGACTTCTGGGAAGGTTAAGGCTCTAGGAGAACCCAGCCATGGCATTTCTCCAAAACTTTGAACTTGGTGCTCCCAAACGCTGAGCAGACTCACTTACTTTTTCAAAGGCTGGTAAGTAACGATTCTTTGTTCTGTCTCTAATCAAATTCATCTTGCTCTCCTTTTGATCTGGAGGAGTTATTATCAAAGATGAGATCAATTCATTTAAATCTGCCATGCCTTCTGTATACATATCAATCCTGAAAGACAAACACATCCAATCAAATATTTCCTTTCTTAGACTTTATGATTTAAAATCTAAATCAATAAGAATACTAAGGCCTGGGAATTTAGCTCAACTGTTCAAGTGCTTGCTTGGTATGCGTAAGGTCATGAGTTTGATTCCCAGGGACAAAAAAAAAAAGCATTATGTAGTTACAAAGTAATTTACCTCCTGTGGATACTTTTTATATATTAGTCTTTACACTGTGAGTTTTACTTATGTATTAACATTTACTCCTTACAACAATCTATTGGAATGTATATATAATTTTTGCTATATCCATGAAACAAATGTAGGTTCAAAGAGCATTGGTGGCTGCTGCAGATTCACAGCGAGGAGCGATCTTTGTGAAATCACTCTATGTGGCCATCAGAGCTGCAAACAGCACTTGCAGCCTCTGTGTGGTTTGCTAGCACACAATCTTATCTTCTTCACATGTGCCTGGACACCAAGCAGGTGACAGTCTCCGGCACAGCTCCTCGGGCTCATCTCTGTTCTTTTCACTCCCATTACACAGAGGCTCACCGGCATGTTCATGTTAGAAATTCTCCCAATTACTTCCCCTAAACATATTTTCACAATCTTTTAAACATGTTTTCCAAACTTGGCCTGATTTCTAACTCTATTCTGCTTAAAATAGCCTCTTTATTGATGTGTTTTTATATTCAGCTACAACCAGTTGCCATAAGAGACCTTTCTTTTTGCCATTTCAAGCTGGACTTTGTACAGTTATTTTGGAATTTATATGACAGCTTTACTGCCACATATTCACACACCTTAGCTGCCAGCCCTTGAAAGATACTCATGTTGATATTGCAATCATAGAGTTTTATAAACATTAGCATTCACTATTCAGAATATTTTTATTAACCTACTCTCAAAAATCTTGTTTCTTTGGCAACCAACCCTCCTTGATTACCATCTAGGAACTCACTAATATCTTCTCAGTCTCTATGAATTTTAACGTTATGAAAATTTCGTGGAAAATCACACAATATGTGGCCTTCTGTGTCATCTTTCCTTCGTATGTGCAATATATTACCAGAATTTATTCCAGTTATATAATACACTACCACTTCATCTATTTTTATGACCATTGTATGTTCTAGAAGTCTTTTTCTCTATACATCTATTCTTGGATCTTTGGGTGTTTCTACTTTTGAAAAATTTAAGTAATGCTGATAAGTATATTTCTAAACAGTTCAAAAGATTTTCATTTTCCTATAGACATATATCTGGTAGAAGCATTGCTGGATATCTCCATTTTTAACTTTTGGAGGAACTGCCAACCATTTCACACAGGACTTTATTTTCAATCAAGCAGTTCCATGCCAGGAAGGACAACCCCAGACCCCTAACCTTGGTTTTAAAGAGCTGCTTTGCTGTGTTTAACTCCATATGAAATGCGTTAGTCAGCCCTGGTACCATGAGACTCACTAATATTCATCAGGCTGACATGTTCATAGGACACGCAGGTTGCTTAGATCCAGGTCTTCATTTTTATAATTTCTGAAACTGGAATATTAAGTTCTTTGGATCCTGCCACTCAAAAACCCCTCTTTCTTGTCCTCAAAATCTGTGTCACTTGTCCAAAGCTGTTGACAAAGTCCAAATTATAAATTATTGTGCTCCTAGAGTCAACTATCCTCTTCTTTTATTTCCTTTTATTTACTAGTGTGCCTCATTGATTATGTCTAGGCCCACCCAGCTGCTTATTTGTTTGTGTTTTTAGAGACAAGATATCTCTGTATAATTCAGGTGGGCCTTGAACCCACTGTGTAACTTAGGCCAGCCTTGAACTCAAAGTAATCCGCTTAACTCAGCCTCCCAAATGCTGGAATTACAGGTGTGCACCAACATGCCTGGCTCTCAAGCCACCCTATGATTGCTCATGATCTTCCTGCCAGGGTGCTGCTCAGTCAGTGTGGGACCTAAATGTCCCACGGAAAAGCCAAAATTCTACCGTACAGGAGTCTCTCCTTCGTGTCTTTCCCATAGAGGTTGTATTTGTTGGCGATGTAGTTGAGAATGGCTCTGGACTGCACCAGCTTCATCCCATCCATCTCCACCATGGGCACTTGCTGGAACATCAGAACTCCATCTATTGGAAAAAGGAAAGTAAAAAGAGGGTGAAATGTTTATGATTTCCAGTGTCTGCGGATGAGACTGCATTTGTACAAATGACTTAAATAAAACAAAGGGGAAATATTACACAGTTATCTTCAGGTAAAGTAGCAGTTTGTTCCTACCTTCCTGTAGTTCATTTTCTTATCAACCTTTCTTTTGCTTTTTAACCTATTCATTTGTCTTCCGTTTCCCATCTACATACCAAATGCATCTTGTTTTTCAGAATGTTTTATTCATCTTCATGAATACTATTATGACTTGCATCTAGATGTTCCTCCAAAGCCTCATGCAGTCTGCAATCATAGGTGGGGCTTTTAGAGATGGCTGGATCTAGTGTGTGTGATGCTGAGATCAAGGGTGTGTGATTACTGAATGAATCCCTGGCTGGGTTGGCATAGCTCCAAGCGTGGTAATGGACAGGCCCATCCTGGGTGTGAGTGCTGCCTGCTGAAAGAGTGTGTGGCCTGGATGGAATATAAGGAACAGAAAGCGGGTCGCTTGCAGCTTACTACTTCACTGCCCCTGCCTTCTCCCTCCCTGCTTGCCACTTACTCCTCTGTGATGTTCCTCTGTCGTGCCGCCTTGCCTTGGAGTCAGCTGACTACAAACTAAAACGTCTACAATCTGTGAGTCAAATAAACTTCTTCTTAACTTTGAGTTTTAGGCATTTTGTCTTAGGAATGATGCAAGTAACTAAGACAAAGACTTTCAGAATGTTTGAAGGTGAGCTGCAAAAGTAATATTCATGATGTCAAGAAATTTACAAAAGTTCTGAAGAAAAGTTTTTATATAGCGATGTCAATCTCAATGTGGCTGGGATATCCACTCCCAACAAGCCATAAATGAAAAAGCTCATGATAACTGCCCCATACATTTCTCTTCTTGTTACCTAGTGATTATCCTTGTGTGTACATCAGTAGGTGAACAGTGTGGAGTCGTGAACTGACTATAGCTCAAACAAGAGGAAGCAAGGAGAGATCATTTATAGGGTCATGAGGATTGTTTAGTGACAAACCCTCAAAGAGGTCTGGCCCTTTTTATTCCTGAGACGGAAGATCCCTCAAGAGGGTACATTTCATATTTTACCACTTGCTTTACTCCATCATCCCCACTATCACCCCTACAATGTATGAGTGTTGCATGATATCTGTGAGTAAGAACGGTACAATGGCGAACCTAGGAAGTAAGAAATGCCAGGATCCTGAAACATCAGCTAAGAAAATCTGTGGGCTGTGAGTACAGCTGGCCCAAGAGAGAAGCCACGTAGGCTATGACTGACATGAGCACAGGAATGGGTCTCCCCAAGTCTTTTAGAACTTACATTTTACCATTGGGTTTCTCAGATGCCAGATATAGAGTCACTGGACGTTCTGTCCACCTTGTCGGGTTTCCATTTTGATGCGGTCCTGCTCTTTTCTATGCCCCTATTTCTCTTTTCTGGAATGAGAATGTTTACCTGCACTATTATAGGCTCAGGATTGTCTCACTAGTTTTTTTCTTTTTACAGAGATTCATAACAAAGAATTTGCCATGCATCTCAGGAGAGTTGGAGTTGGATTTCAGGAACTGCTGAGACTGTGGGGAATTGTGTTTCCAATTGTATGTGGAATAGTTATATTACATTAGTGTTGGAGGATGCCAAGCTGCAATCCTCTGAGAAATGAAGTCCCTTGCCTCTATCTTTACCTGACCTGTCCTTCAACCCCGTTTGCTGAGATATGCAGAGCTGACTATATAGAAGCAGATATTCCCTTCATTGGCCAAAAGAATGTGACTGAGTTCAACCAAAGCATCAGTGTGTCTCAGGATGGCAAAGTGCTGTCCCTTGGGCAAGAATTGCTCCCCTGGTGACAGCTGGACTGGAGGCTTGAGCCTGTAAGATTTCAGGGCTAAGGCAAAGACACAACATCTCAGCTGAGGCCATGGGACTCAGAAAACATGATGCCTTCCTGACAGTAAAGGTGCCAGCCTTTCACACATCAGGTTATCTGTTGTGCTACTAATTGGAAGCCTCTGTGCCAGGTGCAGAGTAGTTTGTCCCTCCTCTGCACGCCATGTCTGCCAAGCTTTTGTTCTCATACATTCTGCTGTGACCCCCACCTGCCTCCCTGATTAGTATCAATTAGAGCATGGGCACTCTAACTGTTGGCCCTTTATTCCACGGAGAGTAATCAGTCATCAGAGAGCCTCTTCACCTGCGGATCTCTCTCTCTCTTTTTTTTTTTTCATCCATGTGCCACATTGCCAGGTAGGAGACCGAACAATTCCATAGGGATTTCAGTACATTACTTTGAATTATGACCTTAGTATTTTCTTTATTGGAATACTAAATATAGAGGATTATTTGGTTGTGAAGTTGACAAAGTGTGGGTTGTGACCATGAATGACAATATGTCAACTTCACTGAATTAAGAAATGCCTGGATAGAGCATGCTCCTGGGTGTGGCTGGGTGTGCCATGGAGCTGTGGTTTGGGGTACCGTACGTGGCCTGCTCCCCCCATTCCTCTCTGGCACTGTTCCTCTAGTCTATTCCCTGTCGTCATGAATTAAGCTCCTTTGCTCCACTGCACCCTTCTGCCATGATGTTTGTCTCTTGGAATCAGTCAGTCATGGGCTGAATTCTGAAAGCAAGAACCAAATTAAATCTCCCTTTGCTCACATTGTGAGTGTCAGGTATTGTGCTTCAACAACATGAAAGCTAATTCAATATTCAAGCTTCATACTGAAAACCTTCATCAGAGCCATTTAGATACTTGATCTTACCCTTTCTTAACTTTTCCAAATCTTCCGGACATGTTACAAACTTCTCTTCAAACTGGAAGAAAATGTAAAAAAATGCTTCTTAGTTAATTCAATAACATTATAGTCTTTTAAATGTGAATGATCCCTAAAATGATGTAACAGACATGAAGAAATTAAATTTCTGATTCTGGCAGTGTACACAAGGGTGTCTGATCATGGGCACTTGGAAATTTACATTAGATCCATCATGAAAATGGCATAGATCACCATACAGAGCTAATCATTTATATTTTTCCCCTCTCCCTGATCCCAACAAGTCCATAGTTAGGCCTCAATTTGGGAGAGCTGTGACTGGAAGGCAGGGACTTGGAATTCCTTTAGTTATAAAATTTTATAATCTCAGCAGAACCATTGATGTCTAGTGAGATCCAAACAGAACCATTATGTTCCTTAGTGTATGTGATAGGCCAATTTAGGATTTTGTCATCACTGAGTCTGTAGTGTAATTTACAGTGACATAATGTGTATAACAATTTGAGATTTTGTCACCACTGGATCTGTGGTATAATGTACATCACTCCTTTCCTTTTCATAGTTTAACAGAAGTTTGTAATCATGAAAAGGTAGGTAAATCTCCTTCTCACTTGCTTGGGAAGTCAGCATTTGTCGTTGACTTCCAAAATCTGAGAGGGTAGGCGGCACAAATGATGAAGAGTGTGTGCCACCAATTTGCATAGTATCCACAGAACCACTGGGTGTTGTGGCTGTTCACCACAGGAGAATGTTCAAGGTGGAGTACGCACGATGAGGCTTATGGCCACGGATGAGCCTGTAATTATCAGTCTTTGGGCAAAGAGTGCAGAAGGTTTAAGCAAGGGTCTCTAGGCACCCTTGCCCACTGCCCTTCTCAGTCATGGGTTGGTGGAGAAGTAGAAGCCTTCCATGCTGAGGACACTGACTCTACTTCCTCTTCTTGTGCTGAACTTATTCTATCTGGAGGCTTGGGATGTATCTCAGAATCCCCATCTGGTATCTGGAGCATGCTGAAACCATGTCATTTATTTACAGGAAAAACAAAGTCTGGGTCAATATCATTTGCATTTTTGTGGACTTGTTTCTTGTGAAATTAAGAAAGGATCAGGCCAAGGAGTCATACATTTATGTAGGACTGAGAAATACTGTTTCCCTGGCTTAAGTAGACACATTGCTAAGAGCCTATTAAGCACTTTAGAAGTTCCCTTTATAGGACATGACCTCACTGTTATGGCTTATATCTAGGTATTTCCCTAAAGCCCCAAAGGCTCATGGATGGGCTTTTGGGAGGTGATTGGATCATGAGTGTGTGATAACCACATTGTGTTAGCCCACTGATGAGTTTGTAGCTAAATGTGATGTTGGGAGGTGAAACCTGGTTGGATGAGGTAGATCAGTAGGGGTGTGGCCTGGAATGGTAGATGTCTCTCCTCTCTCCTCTTCCTCCTCCTTCTCCTCCTCCTCTTTTTTTTCTTCTCTCTCTCTCTCTCTCTCTCTCTCTCTCTCTCTCTCTCTCTCTCTCTCTGCCTCCATACCATACCATACTACTTTTCCTCTGCAATGCCCCTGTTACTCCATCCTGTCTTGGAGACTGAAAACTATGGGGTAAAACCTCTGCAAACTGTGAACCAAACAAACCTTTCCCCCTTTAGTTTGTGGATGTCAGTTATTGTGCCAAGGTGACAGGGAAGTAACTAAGATACTCACCCTTTGACCTTCCTTTACTGCTGTCACCTGAGCGACGACATCCATAGAATATCCATAATCTCCGCTCTAAGAAACCCTCACTCAGTTGCCAAGAGGGGTCTGTCCTGAGAAGCATTTTTATCAGTAATGCCTCTAAAGAGAAGGAGTCTCCATGTCCTAACAGCATCTCCCTTCCATTAAAAAGATACAGGAATGTCCTTAAAAGTACAATGCTCCCTTCCACACCCTTATTGAAATCTCCTGTTTACTTGTCTCTGCCCTAAGATTATCCAGTCTGCCAATCTAGTCTCTTAATCAATTAAAATTCTGAGAAGCTTTCACAGAACCTGGCATTTAATAGATTTTCCCCAAATTACTTGTTGAACAAACGTATTCTATTTTTAGCAGGAAGTTTGTTACTGTCCACTCCCTCCATCCTTCCAGTTGCATTTTTTAAACTTAGCTCTACTTGGTTTTGTACATTTTTACATTATTATTGTATAAATTTCTAGTACTAGGTGTAAAATACAGATAATACACAAATTTTCCTGCTATCAGTCACCCAGGAAGTCTAGATACCAACTGAAACTAATTTAGATTTATCTGTATTCCCACCTTCTCTCCTATCTTTGTCATAATGTTCAGCCAGTCCTAGGCATCCTATGACTTCCTTAGAAACACTTTGGTATGTGTCTGTCTATAAAACATGATTTGTTTTGTTTTATTGTTTTGTTTTTGGTGCTAGGAGTTGAACCCAGAGCCTTCTACATGCAAGGCAAGAGCATTAACACAGAGCCACATGCTCAGCCCCAAACATAATGGTTTTTATTAAATTAAATTAAATTTATTTATTTATTTATTTATTTATTTATTTATTTATTGTCTTTTTGAGACAGGGTTTTACTACACAGTTTAGGCTGGCTTTGAACTCACTTTGTAGCCCAGACTGGCCTCAAACAAGCAGCAATCCTCTTACTTCAGCCTCCTGAGTACAGAGGCAACAGGTATGCACCACCGTGCCTAGAGGCGACTATTTTTAAAGTAACAAAAATATCACATCTAAAAGCACTCTAAAAATTAACTATATTTAATATCACCTGATATTTAACCAATATTCAAGTTTCTAATTGTACAAATGACCTAAATTATATAATTCATTTAAATACAAATGAATTCTATACATTGTAACTGTTTGAGGTTTCTTTTTAAAATATATTTATTTATGTGCTTTTTTGCTGGAAAGATAATTATAATTTTATTTGGTCAAATTGTTTGATTTTTTAATAAGTAGGGATATTTTTATTTATGACAAAATTTTTCACAGGTTCTAATGGGAGAATTCTTCTGGCTTAGGAAACTATTTTGATAAGGTGAATTTTAGGTCCAACATAAGAACTAAAAACCTACCTCTATCCCAGCTGCAGCCAGGAGCCATCGGGTGGACTCCATCCTTCCCCGTCCATCGAAGTAGTGAAGTACTGGCTTCCCTGCCATATCAGCAGTCTTTGGTTTCACTAAAAGTGAATAAATGAATGAATTAATATACAGAACAGAATACACTCTAGGATTATGGTTGGCGATCCGACAATACAAAATAGGTTTCTCTATTCCTGGAAGGGTTAGAGAGAGAAGTCCCAGAAACTTCCTTGAACCAAACTGTCACTCTTCTGGGTGCACTGTCCTGAAATTGCACCACACGTGTCTCACATTGCCATTTCCTTATCCTGAGGACGTAAGCACACAGCACAGGCCCCAACCCGTGGAAGGACCTGGTAGCCAGGATAGAGCCTTGAAGACCAGAGGACATCGCTAACAGGGAGGGGGTGACAGGACAGGTCCCTCTCCAGTTCTTTGGTTCCATTTGTCCTTAAATATTCAGTGAGGCTCAGTCCTCCCTGACTACAACCACAATCTGTAGTTTCCCCACTGGAGAAGGTGTACTTTTTTTCTACCAGAATTCCATTTTTCCACTGCTGGATTGAATTTTACTTTACACTCTAGAAAAGGATAATTGCTACATTAACTTATAAGGAAAGTAATGTACTTTATAAGGATCGTAACCAGCCTGCTACATAACACGCAACTTCTCATTTTTTATCGGCTTTTAATCATAAAGATTGTTTGATATAGAACCAGGGCAAGATCCTTCTTAGCATAAGATCATCTCACCCTTTTAAGTCATGCCAGGATTATACTTACCCATTGAGTCATAGGTCTCTGAGTCTTCCACCAAATCTGAATCTTTTTCTACCCCATCTATCACTGGATACACCCATAAAAGAGTGGCTCTCTTGGCCCATTTGAGACATCAACTTCCCAGTCACTCATCATGTATTACTAAGTTTATCTCAATTTATCTTCTTGCTGTACCCTTAATACAGGCAACTGTAGCTCTCAGCGAGGTCCCTGATATTTGGCCCCTAGTATGATCAGAATGCATGATCTTCAAACCACAACAGCCACCATCAAGGTGCTTGCAATCCACCAGAACTTGCATAACCAGCTGAAAGGTAAGTGGAGCATCTTTCTAATGCTCAGACACATGTCATAAATAGGAATCTGTTCTAGTAGTCTGTTCATCATGGGCAACATTTTCTATCTAAAGAAGAGAAATAATTTAGTCTGTTCATTGTGAAGCTGTTAAATGATATAGACATCAGAATGCCATGAAAGCAGGTTTTTGGATTATTCTAACTTCTATCCTTCTTTTCTCGAAGTGGATACACTCAGTATGAGACTTTGGGGTAAAATACATGACAGATTTTTTTGCAGCTACAACCCCACACCAAAAAATCCACCCAAAACAATAGCTGTGCATGATCTAGTGAAAGTGGCCCTCTCCTCCTTGCAACAGAGCTTAGCAAAAAAAAGCAGACCAATAAGTTACAATATACTCTAACTGTGCTGACAAAAAGATTACAAATGAGACAGAAAAAATGGAAAAGAGCCCTTATATAAGCATAATGAAAGAGATCATTATGATAACACGACCCCCATGGGCTGCTGAAGAAAAATTAAACATAGTTTTTTTTTTAAAAAAAGGATAATCAAATGTATTCAGTATTGCAAGATATTCATAATGAAATGCAAAACTTTTCCAATTTACTCACACACTCAGCTTTGTTCTCTACACCCCAACTGGAAAATACTGCTTCTGCCACTGTGCTTCCTATAGTTACCCAAGACTTAGATCAGAAACAATCTCCCTCCTCCTCCACCAAGGAAACTAAAGTACAGTGACGTGACACTATATTCACATGCAATACGCAGAACTACCACACCTGGCTCATAAATGCAGTATGTACAAAGCTTTTAGTCTTTTACTCTTGAAAGAATTAAGGCAGGGCATGCTTGACAATGGAGTCCAGGGTCTTTATACTCTTGGTTGTTTGGATAACATAATTCAAGGTTTTCAAAAGGTGCCAGGTGATGTAACCATCTTGCCCACACATGCCTATCATCAGTGCAATTCCCACATTTTGAATTACATTTAAAGACAATCATTTCAGAAGAAACTCAGAATAATCAAGATAGGATGAAAACTTTTCAAGCTATTACTCAGGAAATGCTATCTGGCTCGGATGTGCTGATTTGAAGGTTCAGTCATGCACACAGTGCAAAGAACTGCTGCATCAAGCATGGATTTCTGTCCCAGAAAATAGTACATCCAATAAATCTTTTACCCATAAGACTTTACTCCAAAGTCTTACAGAAACTTACACCAAGTTTGCAGCTAGACTGCAAGAAGCTGTAAATAGACAGATTTCAGTTCATGATAATGCAACTAAAATACTCTTTTGTCAATTAGCATATGAGAACATCAACAAGGATTGTAAATGAGCTTTAGCCTCAGTGCTTCATACTAAGGACTCATCTACTTCCTTACAAGCAGGCCAAAATGCTGAATCTACCAGTCACACTTCTGCACTCATGGCACAGGCTACATCCCAGTATCTTGACCATAAGGCTGATATGGCCAAATGATCTAATTGTTCAAGGACACACTTGCTGGTGCTGCCCGAAGCCTACAAAGGCACCAGCCCCCTAAACTAGGCAGGCTATTACTAAACCAGGCTCTCATTTACCACATATCCCATGTCTGTATTGCATGGAAGGTTTTCACTGGGAAAAGGTTGTAAGACTATATTTCATAAGGAAGGCACATCCTTGCTTCAGGGAAATGGCAGATAAGCCCTTCCCTGGGGCCAGGCATAAACAAGGGGACAGTATTAAACAGTGTCTTGCTACCTCATGCACAGTTAAGTCAGTTGCATCTAGTTCAAACCACACAAACATCAGTATCTCTACGGGATGGGTACGAGGCAAGACACTAAGTCCCTCCTTCAGGGACCCCCCCAGAGTGCAAGACTACATTTACTTGCAGCTTCACACATTCATTTACTGGAGGGAGGGAATTAGTTTTAATTCCCAATGGAATCTATGGACCAGCACCAGAAGAGACCATGGGATTAGTTACTGGAAAATCAAGGTTAATTTCTAAAGGGCTTACTGTAATTTTTACTATAATAAATGGTGAGTGTCCCCAAGAAATATCAGTGGCAGTGAATTCCAGCAGCATTTGGGTAATTGAACCTGATGGTCAGATTGCTCAAATTTTACTCTTTCCCACAATCGATTCATCTGCTCTCTCTCTCTTGCATGAGGCTGACCATAAGCATCTGAACAGAGAAGTTTATTTTTTCAGAGTATTTCTCTTTATAGACCTACTTGTACTATTAAATTAAATGGAAAATGCTTTACTGGACCGATGGATATAGGATCTGATGCCACTATAGTCAATAGCCAATCTTGGCCATCTGCTCAGCCAACTAGACCTGCCTCCACAGCTCTGATAGGCTTAGGTTCCCCTCAATCTGCCTCACAGAGTGCTCTACCATTTCTGTATATTGGCCTGGAAGGACCGGCAGGCATTACAACATCATTTATTGAACCCATTCCCATCAATGTATGAGGTAGAGCGGAGCACTGTCCTAGTTACTTCTGCCCCTCAGAAGAGGCATCACCGCTAACAAGATGATGACCCAGATGGGATATCAAGAAAACAAAGGTCAGGGTAAGAATGTAGAGGGCTGTCGACTTGCATTTGAGGTTTAATGAAACAACGTAGATCCTGAATTGGATGTGAGGCAAATTTATGATGAGCACCAAGGGGAATTTTCCACCTATTACTTCACTGCCAATTCAGGGGAAAACCCTAAAGTTTAAATGGATTTTTCAATGGCCTCTAACTCAGGAGAAGTTAAAGATCCTATCAGCATTAGTAGAATAGCAGCTATAATCAGGCCATCTGTTAGGCCGTGGAAGATCCCTGTGTTTGTAATTCCAAAAAGATCAGGCAAGGAGATTCATACAAATTTAAGAGCTGTAAATCCCTGCATGCTGCCAACTGGGCGGCACCACAACCTGGCCTACCTAGTGTTTCTGCAGTCCCAGGACACTGGCCTCTGGTTGTTATTGATCTTATTTATCTCTCTGCTCAGGATGGACCCTTTGTTTTGCATTTTCAATACCGAGCATTAATTTTCATGATCCAGCAAAGTATTTTCAGTGTTCTGTTCTGAGCTGCTTGAGCAGGGAGCCAGGAAGAGCAGCTCATGTAGCAGGGTAACTAGTCAGGACCTGCAATGGGGTTGGGCAAGTTGGCTCAGGGTTGCACACCAAAGCACAGGCTTCAGTAAAAAGTGAAGATTCAATTACCTAATTACTTCCTTTTTATTTCTTTATATGCTTTTTATTTTTATTCATACATGTTTGCCATACATAATGATTACATACATCATGGACAGGTAGTACATGTATGTAACACCTCTCAACTCTTATTGCAAGAATTCAACTACCTAATTACTTCCTAACAAACAATTATTGAGCAATTTCTCTGAGTCAAGTGATAACCAGGGCTGGCAGGGAATGAGATACCAGCCTGACTTGGTCCCTGCCCTAAGGAGACCAAGCAAAGACTCATAAATACTGACAGAGCAAAAATGTATCTTGTAATTGCTAAAATTTATCAGTTTATGAGGATTCAAAGCAGATAACATTGTTCTCTAAGCAAGTCAGAGGCATGGGAGAAAGTTGCAAAGTTGTGAATCAAGGACTTGTACTTTCTGCCCCATACAGCTCCTACATCACCCAGCCTCAGCTGTTTGTATATTTTTTACGTGTTCTTTCTTATGCTTAGATTAGGGTTGCTCTCCAAGGATATATAAAGAAACTATTTGTAGCATATCATGCAGTGCATATTCTCTATCACATGTCAGTATCTTTGCCCCCAGATGGTATGTTTTTTTTCACAGGATCTCTTATATTATGAAGCTTTCCTGTATAATTGTGTCCTTTGCATGCTGACAATGATTCCTGGACACTACTGACTCTAATTGGGTTACGTCCTACTTGATGACTTTGGTACCTTGCATACTTGTTCTGATATTTCTGGTCATCCTTTCTGGACTTCCCAAGACATTAAATAAAAAGAGGACCTAAGAAATCATCTGGTTCTTCTTCCAAATTTTAGACTGTTGTGATTGCCAGTTAACTCATACACAACAAAGGTTAGATTCAAACCCAGTTCTTCTGACATTTATTCTAGTGTCTTATTACTAATTTTTCACAGCCTACAAAAGTTACAGTTTTGTTGTTTGTTTAGGTTTTTGTTTTTTTTGTTTTTGTCTTTGTTTTTATTTTGTTTTGTCCCTCCCTATAGACACTTACTTGATTGTGAGCTCCAGAAAGCAGAGAAGTTGTCCTAATTTGCTATCATGGCATATTTCTCAGCATTCAATTCACAGTCCATGTATCTGACAGCATGGTAGCTCAAGTCACATAAGCTTTTTTTCATTTGCTTTATAGGACTTCATCATTTAAGAGTACAGTTACTACAGAGAAATTCAATCAAAAGCTAGGATTATGGTAATAAATTGATTTATTATGATGATAATTGTGATAATCCTGTTATTGTTTATAGAACTCTAAAAGCAGTGAAAGTCATTTATGTAAAAGGAACAAATTGCATAAAAATTGGTTAGGCAAATTGGCAGTGTAACTTAAGGGAATATTTAACTTGGCAAATCAAGAGAATTAGCTTATGTTCTGTTATACTGAGAACATAGTAATTCAAAAAGAACAGCATTGTCATTCTTAGGTTTTCCTGAAAGTTAAACTCAGTTCCACCTGACGTTCTCTTCTAAAGTCTTATCTATTTATGTTCACTTGCATTTTGAGATTTTGAACACTGCTCACTTTCTGGTCTCAGCAGCCCTGAAAGAGGAGGAAAGGGAAGAAGAAGAGGGAGAAAGACAAAGAGAATGAGAGAGAGAAGCAAGAACAGGTGCAGCGGGAGCTGGATAAGAGGAGGAGGAGCAGGAGGAGGAGGAGGAGGAGGAGGTGGAGAAGGAGGAAGAGGTAGAGGAGGAGGAGGAGGAGGAGAAATGTCCTAGTACTTGGCAAATGACAAAGGCGCGCACATGCACATTCACATCTGTCATAGAGTGTAAGTTTTTTTTTTTTTTTTTTTTTTTGTCTTTTTTCCTTTTTATTGGTACCGGGGATTGAACTCACGACTGCTTGCTTGCAAGGCAGGTGCTTAAGCCGCTGAGCTAAATCCCCAGCCCCAGAGTGTAAGTTTGGATTCGGATTGGCAGGTGCAGAGGATTCATTTCCACGCTGGTCATTTGGCCTCAGAGGTACGAGAGGCATACGTCCATCTGGATCCATATTCACTGCTAAGATGATTTCCCAGGTATGTGACCTTTGCAAATATAAACCCACTATTTTGTGTGGGCACCTGCAGGAATCACACTAGTGCCACATCTTCAGTGTCCAGTACTTTAGTGCACACTGCTGTGCCCTCCAGGCTCTCCTGTGGGTATATATTTAGATGGCTGAAAATGACAGCACTCTTACTTTTCTCATGTCATCAACCACTGTGGATTCATTTTCTAAATTACTGCATTTTTTTCCTTGAAGGACTAAGAAACAAAGCTTGAGTTATACCCTGAGCACACAAGGCGGAAGACCTGAAGTGTTCACACAAGGAACCACCTAGTGAAACAGACATGAGAACATTTATGAAGATTTAAAAGGCAGCACCAACCTGAGTGATGTCCTGCCGTTCTCCGTGTTCAGCAGTCCAAGGCTGACTGAGCAAGGGAGCAGAAGCTGCTTTAATATCCTGGAGACTCTTGCCTAGAAAATCACTGAGCCCAATAGGGAGCAGCCACTCCCACAGCTGAAGCTTCCGGAGTCCACGCCAGATTAAACAGAAAATGAGTAATCATTGCTGCTGCCCTTCAGTGCTATCTGTGAGTGCACTAAAAGGGGTCTGAAGTTCCTTCAGCTGCCCCAGAAGGTCACGTGTATTCTGCTCCTGAAGGATTTTGTAAAATAGGCTGCCAAGTTTATGGCCTATGAAAAAATATGGTGATAGGAAGAGAGGGCCTTAGGGATATGGTTTTGGGAAATGAGTCCTGATGGAGTAAATTGTGATATCATCATCTACATATGTTGAAAGTCGAAATTATGAATACAGCTGCATAACTGTATAAACACAGGGAATCTGGGGTCTGGCTTCCACCCTGAACTGCAAGCCCTTTGAAGGCATCCTGGCCTACAGGTGTCAACAATATTTGAAGCAAATCCCAACAGTATTTTTAGTTCATCAAAAATAAATTAATTTGTCCTTTTAAACTTTCTTTGAAATTACTAAGGCTGCAAAAAATTACAGAACTAAAGAGCAGTTTGTGCTTTCTTTGTTTGATTGTTTGATAATTTTTTTCCTGCCTAAATCTTGTAACCTGAACAACTACTTCTAAGGTCACAATAGGCTTCACATTAACTACTGTCAATTTCCTATTATTTTTTCAAATTCTGTATTGTTTCTACCTTTTTTCCTGTTTTGCTTTTTAAAATAAAAAATTGTAGAACTAATACAGTGTTCAAAATATCCTTTATTCAGTATATATCTTATATAACCTAAGTAAAATGTCAAATTGAGGAATTTCACACTGATGATATTGTGTACTGAACACTAATCCTTGTTGAGAGGTCACCAATTTTTCAACCAACATCCCTTTTCTAGTCCAAAATCTTCTCCACACTCAACACAGTACTTAGTTTCTGTGTCGGCTTGTTTTCCTCACTCTGTGGCTGGATCTCAGGTCCACTGGTGTTGCATTTCAATGTTATTTATGAAAGCACTAGAAAGAGTTCGAAGTTCATCTACTTCTATGGTTCATTTGTCTTCTGTGATCTTGACACTTTGGAAGGATAGTAGTTAGTTATTTTATGGAATGTGGCTCAACTGGAATTTGCCTGTGTTTTTGTCAGTATTTGCTGAGTTTATACTTGAGTTTTTTTGCAAAGTGTTTCACAAGTTAACCTTCTTCCATCTCAGTGCATGATTTCCAAACATAATATTACATTCCAGAGATAATGTGTTGCATTGATGGTAATGTTAGCCTTGATCCCTATTATAATCATGTCTGCCAGGCTTGTCAAATGTTACTATGTTCCCCCCTGAAATAAAAAAATATCTTGTGGGAGATACATTATGACCATGACAATATTCTGCTTCTGAATACATTTTTATCAATTTCTATCTATTAGTATCCATAATAAAACTTTCTTGGGGCAAATATCACTAAAGTGCTGATCAATTTCCCTCATTCCTTCCACTTTTAGTAACTGTAATTCTTCTCCAAAGCATCTTTCTTGTTTGATTATTTGTTTGTCATCAATTATTTACTGACATTAAGATGGACCTATGGATATTTTAATCTAAGAATCCAAGCTAATACATCCAAGACATACTGTGTTACACAGATTGTCCCAGCTTTGGTCTGTGAGGGCTGCTGCATGGTGGCTTCTAGCTTATCTTTTATAGCAACACTCTCTGTTGCAAGCATTTATGGATATTTTCTGCACTGAAGGTGTTGCCTGCTTATCCTCTATGTCTTCTGCCACAGTCCTGCATTCAGACATTTCTGAAATGATTCTTGTTTTTGTTTTAAATTGAGGAACGTATTCAAAACTGAACACTTCTCGATATGGTGGCACATGTCTGTAGCCCAAGCCCTTGGAAGGCTGAGGCTGAGGTGGATAGTGACGATCCGAGACCAGCCTGGGCTACAAAGAGAGCTCAAGGCCAGCCTGAACTGCATAGTGAGACCCTGTCTCAAAAACAAAACAAAACAAAACAAAACAAAACAAAACAAAACAAAACAAAACAAAACCTAGGCACTAGACTCTCCATGGTCCTCACTTCTGAGGTTTGCATGGTCCTAAATGCTTACCAGTGGGAAACACACATACACATATGTATTAGCTCACCTATAGACCTAATACACTACACATTTCTGTAACTATATTTATGTGCATACTAATGAATCATGAGTACCAGATATTTCAATTCAGTAGATTTGGTTAGCCTTTGAATGAACTTTCTCTGACAAGTGAAAAACCTTACATGTATGCTTACTTGTAGTGTGCATGATACCAGAACCGCTACTAGGTAGCTGCATCAGAAACGAATTTGCTAAAGAGAGCCAAATATTTTTTATCTTGCACATCTGCCTTCAGCCTTACACTACTTAGTCAAAATGACGTTTTCCAAAGATACCTGTTAGTTTCCCCCTCAGCATTTCAATTTGGTTGACTTATCTAGTGAAATGCTGTTAGGCTGTTAGAGTTTGTATCCCAGCTTGGGTTGGCTTCACATTCATGTTTCTTCCAGTTAACTATTGGCTGTCTAACAGGTATAACTTTACCACGGTCCTAAGAGTCATGGTTAATCCTAGCAGTGCCCTCAGAGCGATGAGGCTCCCTGCTCATCAGTGCTGTCCATTCCCATGCCTTCTTTTTTCCATTTTTCTCCTCCTCCTCCTCCTCCTCCTCCTCCTCCTCCTCCTCCTCCTCCTCCTCCTCCTCCTCCAGGGAACCAATGGCATTGGTTTGTGACTTACCCATTTGTTTTTATCTTGCTCAGCATATATTTTCATATAAGCTATTCTTCCTCTCATGAAGGGTAACATACTACAGAGACTCTTTTTCTTCATGATTTGTTATTATTTCCATTTCACTATGTATCTGGGGATTTAGCTCAGTGGTTTAAGCACATGCCTGGTAGGCATGAGGTCATGAGTTCAATCCCCATCACCAAAAAAAATCAATAACATTTCACTACAGATCACAGAAATTATCTCAAATTCAAAAAGAAACTTTTTTTACAGCATATTTCTCCATTGTTTGGATCATAGTTTGGGCCTCCATTTGCCTATGTGTGGCGATTTATATTTTTTGAATTATACACAATACTGTGATACCATTGTGCATGTGTATTTGTGTATTGTGGGACGTGTACCTCACTATGCTTCTTTAAAATGTAAACATGTAATAAGCAATTTCCACTCTAATACTAAAAATTTATCATTTTTAAATTTCATCAAATAGCCCATATAAATATCCTCAGCTGCATCAAAACATATCTTATAGTTGGATTATTTACATCCACAGTAAAGCAGGCCCACAGAAGTCTCTGAGTGATCTGAACAAATGCATTTTCTAGAGATGGATGAATGAACACAGAGTCAGGTCCTGAGAGCAACACTGAGCCCAGGTGTTCTTGTTTGCCTGCACTTGTTTGGAGGGAGTGTGTGTATCACTATTGTTTTGTGATGTGTGTGTGTTGTACTGGGCCACAACCCACAGCATGGACTCACAAGACCACCGAGAAACACCTGGACCTCCAGGTCTCCCGAGAGGCCTCCTGGGACGCAGGGCAGAGGGCCAAAAGAGAGCCAAGCAAGATATTCAGGAGGCAGAGTCGACTGACCTGTGACCCCGTCAGTGTCAGGGAAAAAGAACCAAAATGAGTGCCACCAACTGTCTGTCCCCAACTACGCAGTGCCTTACTCTCAGGCTGAGGTAGGTTGATATTCTTTCCGTTTTCTGGAGCCACCACTGAGATGCAAAGGAATTATCATCCTTTTTCTTTGCCACCTAGTGTCTCTCTGACCCAGTGTCTCACCAAGTCTCTCCAGGGCAGGATTCCAGGAAAAGCTCCATGCTGGGCCTTTCTCTTGGCATCCGACCCCCTGCGTATCTGCCATCTGGACTTGTCCACCTGAGTCCCTCAAAGTGATCATGTGTCAAACTCAGCTCATTTCCAATCTCAAATACACTTGATCCCACACACCGTAGTAGACTGCACGGTTGTCCAGGTTGGACACCTCTTTCCCATACCCTTCCTTCAGTCTGTCCTCTCCCCTCAGTGGCCCTCAGTGTGTCTCTGGACAGCAGCACAGAGAGCACCTGGGGTTTTGTGTAAATGCAGAGTGTCAGGCCCCTCCTGCTCTTACAGTATGGTAATCTGACTTAACCACATCCCCAAGTGACTTGCATGCCTGTTAATGTTTGCCGCACAGATTGTATTTTTATTCAACTTTCCAAACCTCATGGTCTGAATACTCCTAGTACAGTGCTCTCCCCTCGGAGGGAGCAGGCAATGTTCTGTTACATTCCATCCCACACCTGCCGTCTTCACGTGGGAACTCTTCCCCATCTCCCCTGCTTGCAGAGAAACCCTCACTTTCTTCCAGGGCAGGTTGTTCTGTTAGTGTTCTCTAGCCCCAGGTCATGACTGGCTCCCTCCCACTATGTGAAGAAGTTGTGACATGGTGATAGTGATGTGGACTCTGGGCTCAGAAACACCTGGGATTTGGCCCTGTCTCCAGCTGGGTGACTAAGCAAGTCTTTATCTTTCTGAACTTTAGGTAGTAGATCTTTTATGTTGTATTGATTAGCCTGGCATAAATTCATCCACTTGCTTGATTTCCCTGTGTGGGCTTGGTTATCTCCTAATACCTGTGTCCTTGCAGATATGGTTGCACCCTCCTGGGAGGGCAAACTTCCCTCCTACACTTGTAAGAGTAGAATGGATGCACACGGTCTTTATGAGGCACGCAGTGCCTGTTTTAGATGGCATTTCTTGCTGATCTGCCATGAATCCAACTCTGAGTTTGCCAGCTCCTAAGTGACAAATGGAGGATGACACAGATGATTTATCCAGGTTGCTTTCTATAAACTGTAGTGATTATATGAATACTTTTGCAACTATAGCAGCCTTTTGTTTGGAGGACCAATAAACTACCACGAACTATCTTTTTTGTCTTATTTTATTTTATTTATACCCAGAATCTAACTCAGAACCTTGTGCTTGCCAGGCAGACACTGAGCCACTGAGCTATATCCCTGAACCTACCATGAACTACCAACAATTTTAATTACAGTT